CCCCTCTCCCTGCCCGACAGCGAGAGCTGGCGGAGCACGGAGTCACCATGTTGCGGCCGAGCCGCCAGCTGCTCTGAGCTGCGGCGGGCAGAGAGCGCGAGCGAGAGAGTGGCGAGGCCCTAAGTACCGCCCGCGCCTCCCTCCACCACGCCCCCCGCCTCTCACTGGCTGGACCCGGCGACCGGCAGCCGCGCTTTCCCGGCTAAACTACCGCCAGCGCCGGCCGTGAGCCGAGGAGGAGGGGCCGCCGCGCCGCGCGTCCCTCGTTACCCGGGCAACCAGCGGGGTCGCGGCAGGAGGCGCCGGCGGGGGGCGGTAGTGCAGGTGGAGGGAGCGCGCCAGGTGAGCGCAGCATCCCGCTGAGCGGCTGCGCTGCTCCGGAGAGGAGATGGTCCCGGGGGCACCTCCCCTCCCGGGCCGGGGCTCCGTCCCTCCGGCCCCGGTGGTCTGGCCCCTCCCGGTCGGATCCAGTTGGTATTTTTAAGGTCCGCCCAGGAGCCCCGCAGGAAGGCAGCAGCGACAGACCGTCGCGGGAGTTTTCTGCAGGGACCGCGGTTCCCCGATCCCGCTGCGCGTGTGGTTTGGTGAAGGCAGGACCCGCGTAGCCTGGTCCCTGCCAGCGCCCGGCTCTGCCCGGCTGTTGTCTGGCGGCCGGTCCAGCCCGAGGAGCCTCGGACCGCGTCTCCGCACTTTGCACCCCGCGCCCGGAGGCTGCAGCGGTTTAGAGACAACATTGTCCGAGGGCTGCATTTCCGCTTTACCGAATGGCTGCCACCTCCTCCTCCGCCCGGCCGGCCTTTCCCGGTTCCTCCTGCTTCCCGTCCTGAGCCTTTGGAGGGGCCGGGTCCTCGGAGGAAGTGACCCTCCCTGCAGGGGTGCAGGGGCGCAGAGCTCTGGGGTGGGGGCGTCCGGTGCGGGAGGGACCACTGACCCCCGGTTCCCTGGGCCCTGCTGGCGTGGCCCGCAGGTTCCCGGCCTGGGAGAAATTGGACCCTTTAGGAGACGGGCACTGGTGGCCCAAGTAGCATCAGGGAGCCTTACAGGCATGTCCCCGGGCAGAGCGCCCACCGCCAGGGGCCCCCAGGAGGCGGAACCACTAGGTGCCTTCCCCCTCCCAGAACAAAGGCTGCCAGGTGCAGGTAATCGGAGTGTAAATCTTTGCCCCCAATGGAGTGGGTGTGAGGTGGTACCTTCTGGAGATGCAGCTGAAAGAAAAAGGACCCACTGGGGTTCTGGGCAGTGTCACCCCATTTCCCTGTAAGTCTCCAGACCTAAGAGTGTGGATTGTAACATGAAAGCTAAGAATCACCTGTATTTCAAAACAGATGCCTGGGCTCCCTCCTCCTCTCGTGCTGTTGTGGGGACCCTCTCGTTGGGGAGCCATGGAGGGAGGCACACTTACATCGGCGAGGAGGGAGAACCGGTCGGGGGATGGCCAAGCAGGACAGTGGAAGGAACGCAGAGGCCACGGTGGGGTGGGAAATGTCTCCCATGTGGTCTTTAGGGAGCTGCTCCCTGGTAAATGCAGGTGTATTTGCCTGGAGAGACCAGTGCTAACTGCTGTCGTGTAAACGCAGTCCTTGGTGAATGTGAAATGGTGGGGCCACTGAAGCTGTCCTCGGGCGTGAGCACTGTTCCCCCTGGCGAGCCTGCACAGCACAGGTGCCATCCTGTCGCCCCCTGTAGGTGAGGCTGGGGGGGCTTGGGGAAAAGGCCTTGCTCCCCCAGTGTGCCTGTGGCTCCAGTTAACCCCCAACAGGGGGTGCCCAGCTCTGGCCGGAGGAGCTGTTTCCAGGACAGACACTGGTTATATTGCTCTTTGCTTTGTTGCGCTTCACAGATGTTTCGTTTTCGCAAATTGAAGGCAAGACCTTTCACCAGCAAAAAGATGACCACTCGGGCCGGGTCAGAAACAGCCAGCAAGGCCGCGTGGGCCCTGCCCTCACAGAGCGGCCAGGCCAGTGGGGAGGCAGCCGGCTCGCCATGTTTTTTCAATGGTTAATGGGCGGTAAGGACTGTGCTAGGCCCATGGTCGGCAAACCGCGGCTTGTGAGCCACATGCGGCTCTTTGGCCCCTTGAGTGTGGCTCTTCCACAAAATACCACGTGCGGGCGCACATGTACAGTGCAATTTAAACTGGCCCATGCACAGAAGTCGGTATTTTGTGGAAGAGCCGGTATTTTGTGGAAGAGCCACACTCAAGGGGCCAAAGAGCCGCACCAAGGTGCTAGAGCAGCGGTTCTCAACCTTGGCTGCACATTAGAATCACCTGGGAATCGTTTTAAAATCCTGATTTCTGGGCCTCTTCCTCCGGAAATTCTGTTTCTTTGTTATGGGGTGAGGCCACAACATTAGTAACAAAGAAACAGAATTTCTGGAGGATGAGGCCCAGAAATCAGGATTTTAAAAGGATTCCCAGGTGATTCTAATGTGCAGCCAAGGTTGAGAACCGCTGTGATAGAGGATCTCCTGGGTGTAGGGGTGACATAAAATACAGGACACCTGTTAAACTCAAGTGAGAGATGGAGAATAAGCGTTTAGTATGTCCCAAATACCGCATGGGACACATTATACTAAAATCATGTTTTTCTGAAATTCAGAGATGGCATGGGGCATACTTCCACCCAAAGATTCTGTTGTTTAGCTGACATTCGAATGTAACTGGGCCTCTGGGCACGTGGCAGCCCCGCCTGGTGCCCTCGGAGCCTGGTAGAGCTGCTGGCCGGGGTGGGGTAGGTTTCCCAGCTCAGTGCAGGTTCCGCTAACACAGAGGCTGGGGTGGAAAGAGGAGGGGGATGTGGGTGGGAGGGTCGGAAGCATGGGTCCTGCGGCCTGAACACAGGCCTTGGGAGGGAAGCGGGGAGATGAGAGCTAATGCTCGGACAGACTTGCTGTTCCCGGTGCTGTCATGCTCTTTATGTGCATTGTGCTCACTGAATCTCCAGACTATGCTCTGAGGTTGACTCTATCTTGTCCCCATTTTACAGAAGAGAAAACGGAGGCTTAGAGGACGAGTCACGTGGCCAAGGGCCTGCAGGCAGTAAGGGCAGAACCGGCTCCTCAGCCAGCCGCTCCCTGTCCCATCACCACTGCGCAAGTCCTGAAACCCCACATGGTCCAGAGCCTTGTTTGCTACAGTAGATGTTTGGACTTCCCCGGAGCCATGGAGGCCAGACCCAGGGGGAGAGCGGGTCTGTCCTTTGTTTTTAAAGATCCCTGTGGCTGACCAGCCGGAAATGGAGAGGAGGGGGCAGGACGAGGCCGTCTGCGTGCAGTACTGGTGATATGAACAATGCGGCCCAAGTTAAGGGCTTTTTCTTTGCCCTATGAAAGGTCTTTAATTCCTGTTTTCTAATCTCTCTGGGACCTGGGCCCAATGCACCTTAAAGGCAGTAGGTAAACCTAAAACACTTAAAAAATGTCAAACCTAATTAAACCCAGGCTTCTCTAAGGAAAGCTGCTTAGCCCTGAGCCCTGCTTCGCTTCAGGTGCGAGTTATGAAAACTGCCAGGGAATTAATATCACGGAACCAAGTTGCCTTTTGTTTTGTTCTTTTCCAGTTTGGCACTTCCATTTCAGCCGAAAGTACCCACCCGGCCTGAACGGGAAGAATGCATTCGCTGACAGTACCTTTTTTTTTAATCAAACAAAACACGTAGGTTGCTACCTAGATGTGGACAACTTTGTTAGCACCTCAAATGATCCTTCAACTCAGGTTTGATTGCCACTAAAAACTGTATTTACTTAAGACTGTATTTTCTATTGATGTACTTAAGTGCCTAAGTTGAGAAGTATTTGAGGTACTGGAAGTCAGACTAGTTTTGCTGGTATTTAGTAAAACAAAGGACAGGAATTTTCAGCACTTTCTTAAAGGCAGACATTTGACTTACATGTCTAAATGTCCGCCCGAATCCACGCCTGGGGAAAGGGCCATCTCTGTTACCTGCCTACCTGCTACTTTGCCAAGTTCATCATGGGTTCAGTAGACACGCTCAAGACCATTGCTTCCCCACCCCCTCCACGCACGTGCTCCCTCTCCAGGCTCACACCACCTGTGGCAGTCTGCCCGGCACAGGTGGTGCCGTGTGATAATAGGGCCCTCAGCTCTGGAGCCAAACTCCTTGGGTTCGAAGCCTGGCTTTAGAGCAGCCAAGCTCCATAAACTTAAGCAAGTTACCTGTGACAGTTCTGAGGGTTCGACAGGCAGGCCACGTGCTCAGCGTGGGGGGCTGCTGCTGCAGCTCTGCTTTGTCCGAGCAGACACGTCCCCCTTTGGGAAGAATACCTGCCCTCAGTGTGTGGATGAGTCAGTTATTGGTTAGCAGACCAGGACTTTAAATAATCATAAGTATGTTAAAGAAAACACAGGGCAAGGTGGGTAAAAAGGACAGAAAGGTAAGAATTGCATCAGAGACTTGAAATCTATAAAAAATAATCAAATGAGCATGTCATTGAAAACCATAACATCATAAAATAGTCTTTAGTCTGCAGATGAGTGAGGGTCTTCCCATCCTGAAATACCTATTTTCAACCTGTTGTGCTGTTTCTTCATCACATCTGTAACTGGTACTCTACCTTTGCGTTTGTATTTGTCCCCTACAAGTCATGCTGTGTGACTGAGAGTTAACGCAGGCCTCACAGCGAGGTCTTGGAAGGCCTGCTCGTCGGGGGGGCTCTGGGCTGGAGCTGGAACTGGCTCTGGAGGCGCCCCTAGTTTTCAGGTAACTCTTTTGCCTGCTTGGGGCGCTGAATGCCTCCCTTCCTCTGGGAGTCTGGAATTTCCATAGCTACGGCTTTGGTCTTTGGGCCTCAGGCGGGCTTCCCTGGGCAGGCACTGCATGTGTAGGAGCCTCTGCGTGGGTTCCTTCAGCTTCCAGGTGACGTGGCTTCTCCCTCGTTGATCCTGTGGAATATCCTTTCTCTGGTCCTCCAGCGAATCACTGAATGTGTGGGTAGCTGTGGGACCTGACAGTGTCCCTCCTTAACACCCTTTGTTCAAACTGCTCCCAAAAGGCTCATCTGCTCATTAACCCAGTAGTCTTTCTTCGTCCACAACATCTGTCAGTGATATTACTCCAGCTTTCCTCCTCTCCCTCCTGCGTTCATTCAGCAGACCTTGCCGAGTGCCTGTGGGCAACTGTGGTCTGGCACATCAGTGCGTGTTCCGAGCAGCACATGGTCTGCGGGGAAGACAGGAAGCAGATGGTTCACGCTGATGGAGTCCTGTGCTGTTGGCGGCATTAAAGGGGAGATGCGCTTCAGAACGGTGAGCGTGAGTCAGGAGGGAGGCCTGTGGAGGGAACATCACAGCAGGAGGAGGTCTGTTTGGATAAGAGCCAGAAGCAGTGCACCCAGCAGAGAACAGCTCATGCAGATGTGTAAAAAGCCATTGGGCCCTGGCAGTGTGGCTCATTGGTTGGGTGTCATCTGTACACGGCGAGGTCTCTAGTGTGATTCCTAGTCATCCGATGCCCAGTAGGGGGCATGCAAGAGGCAGCCCCAGCAGCACCACCACCTCTGAGCTTGGTGACAGGCTCTGGGCCCGCTGGTGTCCATGAACAGTGCCTTTCTTCAGTTTTATTTTGAGTGTCAAATCCTCAGCACTCACTTCTCCTGTTGTTCCTTATGGAGCTTTACTTCCAGCTGGTGTGGAGCTCATGTTCTCTGCTGGGTCAAGGCGTCTAAACGCTCCAGGCGGCAGCGACTGAGGGAGGATGCGGTGGGGACCCAGGGATCATCACTGAGTCACA